TAAAAATACCATTACTTGTAGCAGTACACTAACAGTGAGGAGTAATATATCATCTATTGTGATTACCAAATTTTGTCAACTATCATTTAATAGGCTAGATGAAATGAGACATCACTTGTTTGAGCTCATATAGTTTATTTTAAGGCCGACCAGAAAAGTGAGAGTTCATAAACAAGATAGGCTATCAAGTGAATTTAGTGATGAACTATATCAAAGCCTTACTTCAAGGATATTGTGGGCCGATCTTAGCAATGATACCTAACTAGTCACCACAGTCATCTCTTTTGCATAATAAAGCTCATCATACTGGTATAATGTGGCTGAATTGGACGATAGAATGTAACTAATACTAATTTCAGATTATTCCGTTTTCGATATTTCAGATAAATGTTGACTATTTTTGCTTGGTATACGTATATCCAGCGCGGACTGCCTCCATATAGCCTACTAGGAAATAAGCAAGCTAGTACAGAAGAGATGGAAAATAGCTAGCAGGACGGGTGTTTTGTCTTATTTGGGACATGTCAGCTAGATGCATGGGCACCATATAACTGATGCCTACTATAGGACTTCAACCCAGTACCGTCCGCCCCAAACATCATCGAAGTTATTCATATAGCTACTAAGTCAAATTAGCTGACCCTTCATGCAACGAGTATAAATTTTAATTCAATTTAAAATAGGTAAGATTATCCCGTTTTTAATATTTGTACCGAATTTCGACTAGTCTTGTTACTGGGCTCGGGTACTGTGGTTTGCACGTACATTCAGCAGACTACTCCTAAATAAATAGGATAAAAAGCGTATCCTGAATTTCTCTGCTAGTTATAATCTACATATTCTATACAAAAATACATTACGTAATATCCAAAAAAAGATATACACTTTTTTATTCACTACTACTTACTTGTCCAACTGTAGCATAGTATTGCATACATTCCAAATGTCCAACTAAACTAGATTTATTCAATAATTGCGAATCTTTCCATATCGGTGGATGAGTTAATGCATCTAGTTTAGCTCTAGCTGCAGATACTAAGACATAACCAGCTAAGTGATTTGTTTTCAACATCAACTGTAAATATACAGAAACAATAATAATAGCATAATGATATATATATATATATATATATATATATATATATATATATATATATATATATGAGATATGAAATGACAGTCGGGGTTAGATGGTAGACATTTTTAGACTGTTAGTCAGTAAGGTGGAAATACGTTCTGACACTTTGGTAATCCTTTGAAAAAATGTTCAGAATATTACAAATACTTAAACTTATCAGTGTTCTTTTGTAATTGCTGAAGGAGGACGACGGATTATGGTCTACATGTCTCGATAACAACTATAGTCATATTAAACATATTGTGTTCGTCACTTAGTCGATAAACGCGAACGAAACTTTTACCAGCGTCCAGGTAGGCTACCTTGAATCTCAAGCTGAAGATAGAAGTCTTGATAAGCGTAGAAAGTATATTCTACAAACACCCAGCAATCACAGTACAATCAAGCATACAACTCTCGTTTATTTATACATCATAGAAACGTCCTTGGGACAGTTAAGAAAACAGCACACTAAAATACACAGGAGCCAATCACAGCCATGGATTTTCCTAGTGGGAATTGAAATCTCAACGTCAACTGATCAGCCCATGCTGGCAAACGTGAAAACCAAAATAAGGCATTTATCAAGTGAAGTTTGGGGACCTAACATCCCCAACAAAACACCTGCTTATTGTGCATGGACAAGCGCTTCTATACTGCTCATCTTCAGTTTACATATATATGCAGCCGTTTTAAACAAACATTATTAGACAGTTTAATACATTATATCAACATTAACTGTTTTCATTTAACCTAAAAATCTTCTAAAAGTGTATATAAAAACCGGGAAGATCTACCCACTGCCTTCTGTCATTAAGTAAGAAAGAATGATTCATTTACTGTCAACTTTTATCATCAGTGTAGCCAGTTCCTTATTGTTTTATATCGTATACTCTATCATAATTTCACTCAACCATGTCAGTGATCATTGAGAAATCATTCACAAAAGCCAACAGTTTATTGACCATATGTGAATTGTCTTTTTTTACAAGAAAGACTAGAGAAATAAACAGTTGCAGTTCAATTATTTCCACAATCGATTATTAACGAAGAATATCGTCTTCAATACCAAATTAATTAAACCTAGTTTTCTTTCACCCGACTGTAGCCGCTACCGTGACGTGGTGGTCGGGCTTGCAGATCATGACAACCCAACCGGGCTATATTGGCTGGAAGATATGTTCCTATTAGTCCTACAATGTCAGGCAGGTCTAAACTTATCTGACTGAATTATACTTCTTGAATAATTTCTTTGAATCCTAATCTTCTCCATTACTGCTAATTCTTCTGCTATCTCTACCACTATGGGATTTGAACTGATAATTGAGTTTCTGTGCAATTATGGTATGGCAATTTGAACTTATGTACGTACGTACGAAGTTCTGGGTTGTAACTGACTGACAGAGTGAGTTTTCTTTCAATCTATTCACGCATAAAATAGCAAACATTATTTGTCAATGTAAGTGATGGCCGGATACACATAGTGTACATGTTTCTACTACCTCAATGGACAAATAATCACAACGTCATCGATTGATTTGTGATCGTCACTTATAGAGCTTTTTAAAAATGCTGATGAGTTGAAAGCACTTTCGCGTAAAACTTGAAGCAATAATAGATAACTCTTCGCAAAATTGAAATATAGACTTATAGTCAAATCAAAGTTCATGAGAAAACCTATCAGAGTATCTGATAAATTTATTATCCTGAAATTAAGTTAATACTAACAGTGATCTACAAAATTCAACATCAAACTGGTTAGTTTAATTTAATGCATATTCAAAACGCTCCTGTTCCTGCTAAAAAAATGTTGGGGATGTTAGATTCCCAGAACTCGCTTGATAAATATCTTTATTTGGATTTATTTCATGAACCGATCAGTTGACCTTGAGGTCACATTTCCCACCAGCAAAATCCTTGGCTGTGATTGGTCACTGTGTCATTTTAGTGTGCTATTTTTGTGACTGTCCCAAGGACGTCTCTATAAAGTATAAATAAACGTAATTTGAGTGCTTTGATTCATTGTGTGCTGGCTGGGTGTTTGTAGAATACAATTTCTACGTTATATCAAGACTTCTCGCTGATACATTTTGATCAAGGGATCATAATAGCCTAGCTGGACGCTGGTTCATTATTTTGTTCTCGTTATTCGACTAAGATGAACTCGTAATAGTTTAAGCAAACCTAGAGACGAGCGTAACAAAAAATCGCCCCCAAAATTATGATAAAACATACTTGAGGATTAATTAATTCCAAATGCCAATTACGTTCAGCAACTAAACTGGACGCACAGATTTGTAAACCTTGCAGTTGTGACACTACATCAGTTTGTTTAGGTTCCTATTTAGGAAATGAAAAAAAGAAACATAGGAACAATGTTGTTCATATCAGTCAAAAAGTGAAAACATTATAACATTGCTGAAAAAAATGAAATAAAGCAGATCTTTCATTGTGATGTTAGAAGACAGAGTTGTAGGCAAATTGATAAACAACTTTAGATTAACATTTTGTCAGAGAGTTATATCTACAAACATGAAGGAAAATAATGCTTCTTTCAATTCAGATTGTCTCTATAGTGTGTCACATTGCGATGCATGATATGCTTGCAGCTATTACGAGTTTACCTAACATAGTGAACGGAACGAACATCAATGATGCAGTGAAACGATAGGCTATTCTAATCCGATAGTTCCAGACCCGGATAATTAGAGGAAGAAGTCTTAATAAGACGTAGAGAGAATGTATTTCACACAGACACCCAGAAAATACGAGGTTCACAAGCACACAACTCAAGCTTATTTATACAATGATAGAAACACCCTTGGTGAGAGCCATAAAATAGTGTACTAAGATGAATCCATCAACCAATGACAGTCAAAGGTTTTCCGAGTGGGAAATGTAAGATGAAGGTCAACTAAGCATCTTTGGCGCAAAAACATATAAATTCAAAATTTCAGAAATAAATCACAAAATTAGGATCTTTTTTCAAGTGAGTTCTGGGGATCTAACCTTCTCAACAATGCACTACACCACAACTGAGTAACTGTAATAAAATATCGAAGTGCAGTCTTTATAAGAAGTGGATTCTGTCTCAGCTAGGAGTGATTTAATTATGACATTTAAATGTCACGTTGAATAACACCATCAATGCATCCTTGAAAAACAGAACGCAAAACTACACTCCAAAATAACAACTGTCATTGAGTATGCTCATTTTAAGTCTTCGATTAGATGAAAATGTAAAACCAATCAAGGCAATTTGAGTGATAATCACAATGAAATGCAAAAGATTACGTCACTACATATATTAGGCAAAAGTACAAGCGGATAGTAGGAAGACAAGTGGACTGATAGTAGTGAGAAAATTATAAAATATGATAGAGTTTTATCAATTGTAGGTCAAAATGGGATGAATAGACTTCAAATAATCATTAAAAACATCAAAACCATTACGCAATAAGTAAATGTGTAAAAATAAAAAAAAATATCATGTCAATCGTTAGTAACGTCATATCCGGCCAGGGAAGAAATTGGGGTGTCACGAATTTCTTCTGAACACATAAATTAGGGTTGAATGTACGTATTCCTATGGCTTCTGGAATGTGTAGGAGACGGGATGGAACTCCGTTGGGAAATGATGGAGGTATATGATAGATCACCCGAAAAGATCTAGATTTATCTACAATGTGACCACTATCTACCAGGTGTGCTCAGATAGAACTGCGTATTGTTTTTGACTGACCCTTAGTAAACCATTTTAAGTCTGTAGATTTGGCTCAATTATATGAAGGTTTGTGTATTTGATAGTAAGAAAATTGAAAAAGATCTCCTAATCATAAGCAATGATCTCACATTCGAACAATTAAGTCCCATTTGTAAAAGGGTTGATATTCTCTCATGGTTGATAATTATGATTGTGATTGGTTATTTAATTTTGGTACATAAGGACCCGTGAGTAGATACTCGCATGGATTAGCACTGAGTTAAAAGTTTGTCTAAAAGTTAGAATTCTTGACATTAACAATGAGAAGATACAAACTGACAGAATGTGTCAATCGGAAAACGGCAGATCATGCATGAAAATGAATGAATAGGAGATAGATATCATTTGCTTACGATGAAACACAAACCACTTAAAAGCTGAATTTACTAAGCGCTAAACACACATGTGTGTATAGGAATACATAAGCTGTTGAGCAGATGAAATAAACCTTGTTTACTGACTATCCTTTCTCTCTAGTAGCTACAGTTGTATTTAGAAGGTACATGTTTCAGTACAAATTTACGTACGCTGCGTATTTATGAACAGTTGTCTTCGCAAAATACTTCGAATTCGTCGGCCAGACACTATCAGCAACAACTTACTGTGAGAGAGAACAAATCAGATTCCAGTGAAGGAGAAAATCAGGAAGAAGCGGTGGAAGTGGATAGGATACACACTACGGAAAGCACCGAACTGCGTCACGAGACAAGCCCTTACATGGAACCCTCAAGGTAAAAGGAAAACAAGAAGGCCAAAGAATACATTACGCCGAGAAATAGAGAAAGATATGAGAGGAATGAACAAACATTGGACAGAACTGGAAAGGGAAGCCCAGGAAAGAGTTGGTTGGAGAAAACTGGTGGGCGGCCTATGCTCCATTGGAGGTAACAGGCCTAAGTAAGTAAGTAAGTAAGCGTATCACAACACAAAAATCAACAAATACAATTCATGTGTATTGCACAAACTAATGGCTATCTGAACTCAATGATTTAGTGAGTAGAGTTAGTTTTTGAAATGAAAGACACTTAGTGCAAGCTACATTTCGATCATTTACATTAACAAGTACATAAATCCAATGGAATGACACACACAATATGGATGGGATGCTTTTGTTAGTCATTTTTCAAATTTCACTAGTAATTTCCAAAGTGTCATAGGAAAGTAGAGTTCGGTTGACAGGATCGTATGGTGCTTACGTAATGAGACAAATCGAGCTAGAATCTGATAACACACTTTTTTACAGGTAAAAAATAAAACGACCAACATATGTTATAATTCAATAAAATATGATAGTAATACTATAAGAAGGCGTATTTATATCATCATTTGTAGTAGTAGGAATCATTTTAGAACGACTCCAGTTAAATGAAGGAATCAATGGCTGCTCAAATTAGCACATAATGCGCTTGCACAAATAAACACAACAAAAACTGATCAAAATTAACCAACTTCAAAAGTTCATTTCAAACTATCTATGCGACGGCATGAAAAAAATCCAGATTCTTTGAATTGTTAATAGGGGCCCGTGTGATCAAGCCTTAATTAAAAGAAAGTAGCCGCTATTGCTATATTTGGATTATTAGTTGGTTCGCTTAATCTGCAATACAGTTGTGTCACGCTCTCTTGCCCAACAGC